TGATCTGTTTTTTTCCCCCCCCCCCCCCCACCTATCCATGCTAAGCTAATGTTTACACAATGATAACTGAATTCTTTCTTCAAGGCCATCTCCATAGGCCATGTCTGCTTAGGGAGAGTGGCCCAAGGATCACTCACCTACCCAGATTTGGAAGCTGCAACAGATGGGATTCCAGCATGGCCAAGAAATTGAACCCAAAATAAGCCTCTGAAAATGAAGGACCGGAACAATGCAGATAAACGCAAGCTTTATTCTAATTTGATAGCAATGGAGACAGAAATATGGCATTGCAGTTTGTTATATATTTCGTTACAATTTACTCCTACAGGAAAAAAGTAAGGGACTTGGGATCACTGTTTCACTCAAGCTTAAATCTGTCCTTTAACCCTGGCACTGAGGGGCTGGGACATGACTGTCAGGAAACCTATATCCCAATGTTTCCCAGTCTGGTAGCCTCAAATATATTGGAGTATAACTTTCAGACACTATCTACCTGGGAATCCTAACAGTGGTCAAAGATATCTGGCATAGTAGCCTATGATATCTGGAAGTTACCAAGTGGGCAAGGCTGGTACAAACTATATAAATTCCCAGCTGTTGTGCATACAGAGATATGATATCTAATGTTGCCTTTGAAATATGCAATTAATAAATAATAATAATATATTATTATTATTATTTGTTTGTTTATCTGTTAGGTTTATTATTCTACCTTCTTCTAGGAGCTCAAAGCAGTGAACATAGCACCTCTTCTTCCATTTCTCCCCACAACCATGAGTCTGTGAGGTAAATTGGGCTGAGAGAGTGTGATGAGCCCAAATTCATGGAGTGAGTTTCCATAACTGAGGTGAACTTGAATTTGGGTCTCCCTAGTCCTTCTTCAATAGATTAAAGATTACTAGATGTCCTGTAGCAATATGCACAAGTATACAGATGTATACTGAGGTCCCACAGGAGAGAGGAATTATTGAATACTGGATCCCCCCTTCATTCTTACCTAAAGAACATCTCATTCATTTCAATGGCATGATGCTGACTGTCTCCTCCGAACTTCTGGATAAAACATGAAAATATGCTTCCTGGTCCCAAAACTGAAGCCTAAACTTTCTCCTCTAGCATTTCTTTTCTGTCTAATCAAAGAATAGAATCTATTCTCCTCTGGAGAAAGAGGGAAAGTACTCAGGTATCAACATCTGTGTTATAAAATAAGTTCTCAAAATATAAAATGTGCATAACAGTGTACAGATAAGGTAAATATCAGAATTGTATGAACATGTAGCTTTGGGATCACCTACCATACAATTACCTAAAAAGGAATATGGACCACAGAATAGAAAATGTTTTCTATTTATGCCCTAGATGCTTGGAGAAGGGACTTTAAAAACTTGATTTGTTGTGGACAAATACTATATTTGTTCAGTATCTATATAGTTAGAAAGCCAGTATGATAGAACGTTTAAGGCGTCAGACCAGAATCCAGGTTCTCCCTGATTCTATTTTAAATTCACTATCAGCCACAGAAGCTTTAAATGAGAAACTCACTTTGGACTAATCACTATCACAATCTAGTCCATATCACAAAATTGTTATTGTGAGAAGAAATTGGAAGAAGGTGTGCTATGGAGACCTTCAGCTCCTGGAGGACAAGAGGGATATAAATCTAATGAATAGAAACAGGTTCACTAAAGCTACCTGGCAAAGGCACATTATACTGGTATTTACTTTATCGTTTACAGCAGAAAAACCTTACATCATTCAGTGATGTGTCATCATCAATTCCTTGTACTATCTCCACCTTTGTCTGGAGTCCACATATAAAAGACATAGGATTGCAGGTGTCGCTCCATGAGCCATATTTCCCCCACTCAAGGGAGTTGCTTTCCAATATTTCCCTATTACTACACATGAACTTAATATTGTTGGCTGCTGTGTCATCTGACAGCCCCTGGGGTCCTTCAACTCTCAGAGAGAAAGCCACCAGTTTGGATCCTTGATTGCAATACTTTATCGCAGACCAGGCACCCCACCTGCCAAAAAGACATTAGAATTAGCTTGAGCATCTTATCCAGAAGTTGACAACAGAAACTTCAGAGAAGATTAATCAAGATAATATATTTATTGCGGTGGCAGATCAAAAGAAATGGTTCCATCAGCTGAGTATTATTTTCATTGTAAGGCACAGGAGATTCAAAGCTCAGAAACAGTGATAATCTATTTTTAATCCCAGGTTCCAGTGGATGGAACTTTTTTTTTTTTAATTACTCTTTTGATGTTGAAGTCCACTAGCCACTGACAGGAACAGAGCATTTCTTTCTATTTTTGCTTTGTAAGTTATCTGTCTGTGGTGAGTGTGGATATGAAATTTAAATGGATAATCAAAGAACACACATGTAGAATATTATAAATTTTTTAAGTTTTATTTGGAGCTGAGAAGAAATGGATTTTGAAATTCTCCACCAAATTTGTGGGCAGAGAAATTGGCCAGGCAGCTCTCTGAAATTTTCCTTTGTAGGCAGTGAAGGCATGAGAAACCAGAGGAGCTGCAGTCTACTGGAGACCACCATATTCCATAAGAATGTCACTGAAATTCTTTTCTAAGATTTTTAAAGCAAATTAATTGAATTAGAACTGACAAAAAAAAGGAAATATTTCTTCAAGAGGAGAGTTTTCTTGTGTGACAAAATGACCATCTTCTCTGCATTACAAAATTGAATTAATTCAATGTACTTCCTCAAAAAGGAAAGGAGCCCCATTTTGCTTAAAACAATACTGTGTTTCAGATAAAATCTATAATATTCTAATTCATTTGTTTATACACTACCTTTCTGAATATAAACATTTTAAGAGGAGCAATTTTCATTCTAGTCCAAGTTCTCAAATAGCTAGATAGAACCTGACAGCAATAACTCTTCACGTGAAGATGACTGAGAGCAAGCCTACTTCCAGATGTTCTCTTTTGGTAAGACAATCCTCCCCAGTTTGATCTTTGCCAGACGTATCAGGATTCTAACTCCTAGAATTGTCAACCTGGCCACTGGCTGGTTGGATGGAATTCTGGGAACTGTGGTCCCCTACCATGTAGAAAGTACCTATGGAAAATAGTTCTAGGGACTGTAACTGTGGTTGGTGAGCATATACATTCAGAGCATTGCTTGGCCTGAATCCAAAATCCAGTTCAGTGATGTGGTTAACATCACTGGGATTCCCTCTCAATTCAACCAATTCCTGATAAACATTGGTAATAGGACCAGCATGATGTACAGGGTTATACGTAAGTTTAAACAGTGATGGTGGTAATTCAGAACAAGATGCTACTCACTTCCCGACAGTAGATGAAATAAACTTATGATCATCACAAAACAGGCGTATGCCATTGAGGGCAGTGTCATCTTCATGTCTTGTGCCACCTTGATATGGCTCTACCTAGTGCAGAAATGAGAGAGTCTGGATCAAAATAACTAGCATACTTTAAGATTCTTCTTTTTAAAAAAGATCATGATACTGCCCATAGTAAAGCAGACTGATACTTTAGAGAAAAATTATCCTTTCCTCTAGGAAGGCAGACTGGATCCAAACACCCACCTTATTTTGTTTTTAATTTCATTTGCTTTTTCAGAATCCTACAGAGAAACGGATTTTATGTGGCCTTTCAGCAGCAGACAATTCCCCAGTATCAATCTGTAGCCTTTGAAATACCCCCAAATCATGCCCTTAATATTTGGTAACATGCTCACTGATTTCAGAGGCACAATTTTTTATCTATTTTTCCCATTAAAATATTGAAAAGTATGTGTGATAAGATTCCATAAAACTTAATGGATAAAATTCATATTATTCCTAAACACCCGCAAAAAAGAATATCTTGGCCATAGCCTCCATCTGCTGATCCAGAAGAACCTATGAATCCAGAAATCCCAAGTTGTGGACCTATTTTTTCACAGAAGTGTGATCCCATCCAAAAGTATCACAGGAGGCAATAAAGGGCCCAACAGTTTCACTATCTTGCTAGAATATTGCCTGAAGGCTTTTTGTTTGGGGTTTTTTATTTGTTTGTTTTGGTTTTTTTGCCCCATCCAAACCCTCACAGCTATTAAACATCAAGTGAGGGCATCTATTTCATCTTCTGGGATGGAAATATATAACTGGGTATCATCCACATATTAAACATTCTTCTAGCTGAACCAATAGGTAGCCTCTCTCAGTGATAAAGATGTTAATCATAACAAGTGGGGGGGGGAACCCAACCATGTGGCACTCCACACAGCAGTTGTAAAGGAATTTATCATTAAACCCTCATCAACTGGAACCAATTGCTCAAGGAGGAGGAGAACCACTGTCAAACAGTACCACCCCATTTCCAAGTCTTGTAGAAAGTCATGGTTGATGACATCAAATGCAACTGAAAGTTTAATAGGACTAGGAGTCCACAGCTTCTTCATCCAAGTCTAGATGAAGGTCATCCACAAGTGTGATTAATGCAGTTTAATGCAGAGAAGTATGCTTCATCCAGCTCTGAAATTCAACTCAGAGGGAATCAGATAATCTGCTTCATCCAGGATTTTTCTGCAGCTCTTGCTCTACTACCTTCTCCAAATTTTTCTCTAAAAAGGGAAGATTAGAGAACAGTATAAATTGGCCAGCAGTCAAGTTGAGAGGTGGCTCCTTCAAGATAGCAGGAACTACCCACTCACTCAGAGAAGCATTAACAATCACTCAGATCACTTCCTATGCTGTCATTGTCTCCGTGTTGAAAGACCAACAAAACATATGGCAAAACTGCCTGCCAGATCACTAAGAAAATTCCCAAGTGCCAGCTAGAAATTTATCACATCAATAGAGAATATGGGGTGAACTCATTCTAATCAATTCCCAACCTGTGCAAAGGATGTCAGCCATAGACTCAATCCAAATTTGCCTTCCTGTTAAATCCATTATTCCATTTCCCCCACTCTGACACAATAGAGAACAGTACTTGACCTTCTTCAGCATAATGTCCTTTCAGGTTTGAAGAATCCTATCATATCCTCCCTCAGCCTTCTCTTCTCAGGATTAAACTTACCTACCTATATAGGGTTTGGTTTATAGATAGATCCTAGTTACCCAAATTTCCCTTCTCTGAATCCTAGGTAACATTAGTGTATATTTCTCAAGTTCTAAAACTATTTGAAAACATTAAGTAATGTCTAATCCTCTGAGAACCATAGAGAGTTTTATGGGAAAAAATAATGTTGAAGCTTCAGTGATAATGGGAAGTACTTACTGTTCATCATAAAGCTGTTTGAGAAAAACATAGTACAATAAGGACAAGCTTTACCTTCAATACGAAACCAGAAGCATGACCATGTGAACAGAATTCTTTTTTTCCCCAATAGCCCCAAGGTCCTCCATTTTCCACAGAGATGACAGATACATAATGTGGTGCCCCTTCACCTCTGAGACAGCAGGAGAGGATCAAGAAGACTACAATGCTGATGGAAAGCTCCATTATTAGGTAGTCCTCTCTGTAACTGTAGGAACAGTGTTGAAGAATAGTAACTATAAAAAATAATAATTGTGGTTGTTGCTCTTCAGGCATCCAATGCCACCTGCACAAGGCCAGCCTTTCCATGAGGTAGAATGAATATTTTCACTTGCAGATCACATTCTCCACCCACCCTACAATGCCTGAACCAATGCCTCACTCTGAGGAAGGAGGCTCAAGTTGTCTCTGTTTTCTCTGAAGTACTGTTGTGAGAAGTCATGCCAGGCTCAAATACCTTACTCTCAGTGACATCCCACAGAGCAGTGCTGGACCCATTCCCTCATTCTTTCAGGCCATTTCATCCAATGAGACACCTAGTCTTTTTTTATCAATGATCTGTAACAATCTTGGCCATCAAAACATCATGAAGGACTTTTCCATTTTATACCTGTATCACTATAGTGTCAAATAGTATGCCATATTAAATGAGTGGTTTGGTTTATTGTGCAACTTTTTAAAAAAATGAATGAAGTCAGTTTGGTGTCTTGTAATTATCAGGATTGCCATACAGGTAGAAAAGGAATATAAAGTATTCCTCATATCTTGCAAGTCCTGACTAAGGACAATATCATTTTCATTTGAAGGAAATCTGCATTTGTGAGAAGCATTGGCTGAACAGAACATGGCAGAGCTTTTCCATGTCCCTTTAGTACAATATTCAGTTTGCCATTATGTGCATGAAAACAGACTCTTAGTCATTCTGTTGCAACTCCAAGCATTGTTCCCCCATGCATTTTATTTTACAATCCTTTTCCTTGCCTCTGGAAAGACTTAGGATCCCAGTTCATTAAAAGTGTTAACATGAAATAATTAAAATGAAGCCTGCAACAGGGAACACAAGGTTCTGGTCTGCCTGATCAAAGAAGTAGAACAACATTCTTGTTGTTCTTCCACTTGACAATCTGAGATTTGCACCTGTGGAATCTCCTATTTCCTTTAGAAAAATTGTATATTGCTTCTAGTAAAGGAAAGTTATCACAATAATTCTTAACCATAACAAGCATTTTTTGAACCAGTAATTTGCAAACTAAGGAATGGATGAAGGTCAACCAGAAGTGAGGAGTAGGACGAGTGTAGAATTCAGATCCCTAGGGGGTATGATTTGTCTATGGGCATATATTGTATGTAATGGTATCCATTTAAGATTTATTTGGACTGTATATCAACAAAGAGGTGCATCAATTTATTTTTAGTGCCCAGGAGAGTGGGCTAGCCAACCAAGCTCCAGAAAGGCCCTTACCAGAGCCAAACAATTGAACCAAACGTTAGCAATCTAGATTTCTTTCTATCTCGAAGTACTGTACAGTAATTAAGAAAAGAGAGAAGTTGAGTTCTACCACACCATCATCCATTCCATTTGTCAATCAGTTCTAATGCACTTTAAAAACAACTCACATTTTCCCTATAGTCTTCACCTACTCAGATCAAAAAAACATTTGGTGTGTGTTGCTTTGTGATGCTGGACTTTGCAGAAGGCCAACTACTCAGCCCAAGCCAGCCAAGGGTTGAATGCAGAGCATGCCAGATAACCCAGTGTGGGTTCTTCTTTTTTAAAAAAATTAAACTTGCCAGTTGCTGAATTTACTGCCCGAATCTTGAGTTTCCAGCACTCCATGAACTAAAAAAACGGCACTTTTGTTCTGCTTCATAGAAAGAGGAATAAATAAGTTTTAGTTCCTCACAGTAAACATACAGAGTTCATGTACTATGAGTTTTATCCATAGCAGAAGTGTGTGAGGAAAGGGGAAAAACTAGTTTTACAAGGATTGTGAGGATCTGGAGTTTTTTAAAGTTTGAAAAGAATCCACTGTGATTTGCTGACGGCATCATGTGATTCTTAAGAACCTGTCATGTTAGTAGGGGCATGGTAAAATCAGCAAGGACTCCCACTCAAAATCAGAAGTCTGTAAAACTCTTATTTCCTATCTCTATATTGCAATACCATTTCACAGCCATCATAACAATGCTTTTCTTAATAATGAAAACAATAAAAGGTTGTAGCAGGCTTGATTCTTATCTGAGCTATCTACACTGTCTTGGGAAATATAAAAGAAAAGCTAGATATTTAGGACAGAAAACTCCCAAATGGCTTAAATGCTTCCACTTTGATAAAAACCCCACTAATCGAGCAACACAGGCAATTTAGAAGGCTTTCAAAAATGTGCTTAAAATAAAAGTGACAATATAATGCTCAGGCTGATTTATGTGAAATGTACAATTAAATATTATTATTTGATCTGCAACCAATTTTAAAATATTTTCAGGCCTTCAAAACAAGATGCATTAAAGAAGAGAATGGGGTCAGTAGAACATTTCACATGAGTAGTGTTAATTATTTAATCATATTTTACCCAGCTGAATTTCAGAGCCTCAACATGGCTTAAAATATGAAAACATTTTACATTCTAAATGGTGATCCAGTACAGAAAAGCCCAGCTTTGAATTATATTTCTACCATAAATGTATAGGCTGGAATTGTATAACATACTACACAGAATAAAATGGTATTGGATTCTTTGTGGTTTAGTATGTTGTGAGACCTAGTAATAAGTTTATTCTGTTGTATGAACCTGACATTAAACCATAATATAATCAAGGGGGGTATAGTATGCTGTATGCAAACAACACGTTTAGGCTTTAACATGATGAGTGAGACCAGCCATTATGTGGTTTTTGGGAAGCCATTCTTTCATGCCTTCAGACAGAGGTGCAAAACCTACAACCCCAGGGCTAATATAGCAACCAGATACCTTAGGGGACCCCTAAGATATTCTGTTGGATATTCAAGCTGGGTTTCGAAGAGGCACAGGAACTAGAGTTCAAACTGCCAACATTCGCTGGATCATGGAGAAAGCACGAGAGTTCCAGAAAAACATCTAC